GATGTTTCTCCGTTTCTGCTCAAGCAAACCTGAAAAGTTTTGAACATTTGCACAACTGATTTCTGGAATTAAAAAAAAATAAAATATGGAATGATAACACCATGATTTTTTAATGTACATATGTTAATAAAAATAATGCTGTTGGTATTTTGTTAACCTACGAACCACAGTTTTTTTTTTTTTTCTTTTACAAGGTTTAGCTTTGCGTAATCTACCTGACAAAATTAAGTTCACTTTATTTGGATTTCATGTTCCACGTAAAGTAATAAGTAAGTACTTTAAACAAATAATCTTGCTTGATCAACATAAAGAAATTATGCAAGTAGTTGCCTTAATTTTTTTTTTAAGTTGATAGAGCAGAATAATTTTTTTTTATCAGTGTAATATTATACAAGTATACAAAAGACATGCAATTCCAGATTTACAAGGATGTTTTGCCCCTGGGCTGCAAACCATTCTGGTGATCTACCCACTAAAGAAAAAAAAATTTGCTGATGCATGTGCAGTTAATTCTATAGACATGTTGAATGTTATTCTTTACATCCGGAAATCTCTTGCATGCCCACAACGAGGGCAAAAAGACGATTCTTTTACATCCAATGTGTTAACTAAATGAAATCTGGAGATGTAGGCATTATTAATTTAGTGCAGTCCGCCTCAGCAAAGGGACAAATAATGTAGAAAACCCATTGAAGAACAACTAAACACTCGTTTTTTTTCTCCCTCTGTGCCAGCTTAGCTACACACAGACTTGCTGCCATGACTTACATTCATGGCATTAAAATGCCATGAATGTATCGGGATTCAAGACCAAAAACATGCAAACATTTCCCACAAAAAAGAACAGAACATGCAGTCCATTACAGTTTTATATTTTCAGGTTTCAATTTTTATTTTGCGATCATTAATGTGACTATTAAATAGTGATCGCTGTTCCAGATCTATCAGAGTTGTTTTATTGTTGTTTTTTTAATTGGATCGAAGCACACCGAATGCCACTGCACATCTTAGTGTAACGGTTTTCAAAGTCAAGCTATCATTAATGACCTATGACCTTCTCCCTCGCTAATTTTTTATCTAGTTGTCAATTTGTGGCAAAGCACTGCGTCCCTTTTTCTTTTATTTATCAACCTGAGTGAAGTTAGCCCCCCACCCCACCTTCTTCAAATCAGACAAAATTGGTTTGTGCTACATTTGTGCAGCAAAAATCTTCATTTGTGCCGCTGTCATTCTTAAGATATTAAAAGAAAAATGTTAGCTAGGGGTCATCAGAGGTCAAACACTCCCCAGGCCCAGCTCACATTTGCAAAAATAAATAAATTTGGTGTTAATCAACTCGACTACAGTTGTAGTGGTTTGTGCAGCAAAAATTTTCATTTGTGCTGCTGTGACTTTGAAGATATCAATGAAAGTTAAACCTTCATTGATATCTTCAAAGTCAAAGCAGCACAAATGAACATTTTTGTTGTACAAAACAAGCACCAACTTAGCCAACCTGAGCTTGTGCAAATAAATAAATTTAAATGTGAGTGGGGGGACGGGAGTGTTTGACCTCTGATGATCCCTAGAAAACATTTTTCTTAATATCTTTAGAATGATGGCGGCACAAGTGAAAATTTTTGCTGCAGAAACGTAACCGAGTAGATCGACACCAATTTTGTTTGATTTTATGAAAGTGGGGGTGGGGGGCTGGTTGACCTTTTGACCTTTAAACTTCCATTAATATCTTCAAAGCAAAAGTGGCACAAAGGTCATTTTTGCTGCACAAACGTTTGACGCCAATTTTGTCTGATTTGAAGAAGGTGGGGGGGGGGGGGAAATTCTCACCAGTGGGGTCTCTTCCCCACCCAGGCGGGGCTGCCTGGGGGGCGGGGGTTTTA